TCCATTTACACGTCAATAGCTTTTTAAAAACTTTAGTCAGAATTGGCTCAATTTATAATTGTTAATATATTTGCCTATACATTTCTAAGTACCCTGCTTGCTTTCTTTTAAAGGGAAACAAAGGCTACAGGATTGGGCTATTTCTACTTTTAGTCTTAGAATGCTATTTTCTGTATCTGACCAGTGGCCCTCAGCCCAATTTAATAACCTTTTATATATTTATGTTTTCTAATCTCTGCAGAAACACAAGGAGATAATATGGATCCAAGAGCCTAAATAGTACTCATCCAAAAATGTCCCCAATCTCAGGATCTCAATTGCACAGCTGGGTTCTGTTGGTCACATGTCAGCTTCAGAGCACATCTGTTCATTCCTCAAGGATCCACTAGGCCCCATGAACACAATGTGCTCTGTGTAGAGTACTTTACACCACAAAATCCAGCAGCTGCAGGAGTGAGAAAATCTCTACTTCTCAAGTTTGTGTCTCTAGGCAGTTTGAGTAGGGTGTTTTCTATCTGGCTTTCTTTGGGTTGCCTGTCACTTCTGACATTCAGACGCCTGTTTGGCAACAAAATTGCTTTTGCTATTCTCAGGGACAGATGTTTCTAGCCTGGGAAGAGACAGACCACATTTTTACTGGAAAGTAAGAATTCTTGCCGCATTCAGGCACCCAAACTGAGAAAACACAAGGTGAATCTTAGCCACAGGCTCAAGAATAGAAAAGTAGGTCACTGTCAGGAAAATAATGTCCAGATCTGAAGACTTAGTTTCAGCATGTAGAAAAAAAATATTTGCATCCAATGTCCCCTTCTCGGCTGGGTCACGATGGTCAAAGGACAATGCTTCCCTGGTAGGGCATGTGAGAAGGGCACAGACACCTCCACCTCACCTTGGAAAGTGACATCTTTGTATCTAAACTTGATGAAAACTCTTGTAATATGAAAGAGAGAGAGAGACCCATTCATGCTCTTTTGAGAACTGTATACATTGGAAACTTTTGTGGGTTGATGAGGTTGAGCTGGAGTACCATGAGAGTGGAGCAAAGGAAACTGAAGACACATCAAAAGACATTAAACATAAGTGAGTTTATGTCATAGACTTTGCAAACTTGATTCATAGAAAATTATTGTTATAGATCAAGAATAATCTTATGAAATCTTCTTTTACAGTCCTCAAAGGCTTCATTGCTAGTGTTTAGAGGTAGAAGTAGTCTTGGGTCAACATGTTTTAAATGAGATGTGAGGGACAAACATAGCTTTTAATATTGCAACTAGTTCCTCCCCCTCAGGAATGTGTCTATATTTATATAGCATAACCTGTTAAATCTGTACCAATGGCTGCAAATACAGACCACAGAAGCTTCTTTAATAACGCACATACTCCAAGTCCAAAATGTTCTACTCTGTCATTCATGTGTAAATCAAGTATATTATTCATATACTTCATCAACTTCCTGAATGTGTGCTAAAAATGCCAAGGAAAAACTCGTTAATCGTGACATGGTGACTGCTCAGCTAGCTCTGAAATGTTGATGGAAAAGAAAAATTGTCAAAGGGCCTTTATAAGAACCTCTGCAGGTTACACTCGCAAATCGGAATTCAGAGAACATGAATTTCCTCGTTCAGGAAGGAAGGATTAAAATCAAACACCCTCCAGTGGTTGCATCTAAAAACTGCATAGTTGTCCCAATGGCTTATTTTGTAAAAGGAGTCTTCCTGTGCACCATCGAGTAGTCAGAGTTCAAGTCCCAGCTCGGTCCAATGGTTATACAAACTCAAAAAAATTAAAGTGATCTTCTACGGACTAAAAAATCTCTGCCCATCCTGACAACATCTTCTTGGATGTTTTTATGTTTGAGTTCTTTTAAATGCCAGAGTAAACTAGGTAGCTACATCTTATCATCTTTTACTAAGTGCATTACAGTCTTCAATACTAAAATCTTGTAATTTTGAGCTAGGAAATGAGGCTTGGGTAAGGCTCATACTCCATGGTAAAGGAGGACTTTCATATTGTCTGTGATACACCAAACAACTAATCAGTTTCAAACAATTTAGCCAAATAACAAGTTGACTCAATGAAGTGCAAAATATTTTATTACTCATTTGGCAGACAATCCTGGAGCTCTAAGAAGACAGAACTTTGGGATGAATCTCTCTTGCTCTTACTCTCACCCATGCACGGTCTCTGCTTCTTTGACACAATAAGCCATTGTCATCTACTGAGTATCAGGCATAGTGGGTCATCTCTATTCCATATGGTCCCAATTACCCTTTCCAATGTTTCTGATAGTGAAACAATGTTTTCACATTTAGAAGAAAGATAATTAATGCTGAAATGTTAAGCCATGAAGACTAATACTCTTTACTCACTTGGTTGAGTTGATAAAGACTGCTTATAGTGGTGCTCACTTTTTTGGAATGCAAGAAGGTAGAAAGTCCAGCACCATATTGAATCCTAGTAAGGATAACTTGACATATGATAGAAATTCCAATTTGGCAATGATTTTACTTTAATGCAGTTTAGGATATTTTCATTCTAAATATAGATTTTGAAGACTTTCTATACTTAACAAGATACTCTTGGCAAAATTATACAAAGCATACACAATCTAACGAATTAGGCCAAAAGTTAGGTAGAGAAGTATTTTTAATTTTTTATCAATGATTGTTCAACCCCTTGTAGGTTATCTTTCTAATATCTAAAAAAATAATAAAAGCAATATACTTATAGCTTGTTTTAAGAACCTAGACTTTTTTCTATGAATTACCTACAATTTTTTTTATTTCAGGAGAAAGATCCTTTTTAGCTTTCACATTCATCCTCTTAAGAGAAAATGCTGTTCAGATAATGACACAGAAAAAATATAAACCCTTATTTATTTCATCCTCATTATTTTCTCCTGTCTTAAATTAACACTGTTCAAATAAAATCAACAAGCATCTATGGAGCACCCATTGAGGTCAAGGCTTCTGCTAGATGACAATAGGGGTGTGAATACAAATGAGATATAGTCCCTGCCTTCATGGAGTTTATAATTTTGCTGACCAGACCAGACATAAATAGATGGAAAGCTACATAAAATTATAAAACAATACAAAAACATCACAGATCACAGCAGGATAGCATTTATAGTCAAACAAGTGATTGAGATATTATATACCATGAACTCTAGGGCTGGAGAGAATTTTACAGACTTTTCACAGAGGTAGTGATATCAAGAAGGATAAACAGAATTTGTAAAGGCAAAGAAGACTAATGTGAACAAAAGCACTGCAGTAGGGTCGTAAGGATATACAATAGATGTCAAAGGCACAGTAAGTCAAACTAGTTAGGCTAGAATGGAGGGTATGACTAAGGGAAATGGTGGGAGACAAGGTTAGGAGATAATCTGGGCTGACACCAGATTGCAGAAGTGTTTAGCTAAGGATTATGAATTTTATCTTATAGGAAATAGTGAACAATTAAAGGCTGTTGAACAGGGGAGTGGCATGATCAGAGGTGTACATGATATTAGTGGGGCAGGGTGGATGGGAGGAAAGATAGGAAATGTAGAGAGATAATTAACATTGCAGAAGTGGGGTAATTAGGGCCTATACTAGGATAGTACAAGTGGGAATGGATCTTGGAGAAAGGTACAGAAGAATCAAAAATAACTGAGATATCACGATGTTCCTCAGAGATCAATCAAAGCAGAAGTGGTATTTCAAGTCATGTAAATGGAGAAAATTACAGAAAGAAATGAGTGGCAGACCATAGGATGAATCTTGGGGAATTTTTGTATTTGTGGGGAATAAGAGTAATGGACAGTAAATATGGTCTTTTTTGTTCCTTTCCAGGCACAAGTAAGTATGCATACTCACATGTACACAGAAACACACATGTAGCCTGAGAAAAATAGATGAATAACCCAAATTCAGTCATTTTAATTGGTCTTGTGTCGGTTTAGTGACCATGGTGGACTGGTGATAACCTGGATGAATGTTGCCGAGGAACAGCATGATCTAGCTGAATGAGAACCAGAGTCAAGCAGATCTAGGTTCCAATCTCAGCTTTATCATTTGCCAACTGTCTATTCCCGGACTCGTTTGAGGCTTTGTTTCCTCATCTGTAAGATGAGGATTACAATACTTGCCCTCTCTCAATATAGGGTTATTGTAAAAATAAAAGAATGTATGTGAAAGCATTTTATATACTGTCAATTACTGAAAATATAAGTCTTTTTGTTTTGTTATTGTCACGTGTGTCTAAATTACAATGTTCTGATTTGTGGTCACCAATTCAATCTCTGTCTCTCAAGGAAATTACCATAGACATATATGCAAACTTTTCCTAGCACTTTTATTTTCCTTCAATGGCATTTTAAGCTCTTTAAGGGCAGGGACCATATCCTAGGCGTCTATGTATTCGCCTTATGCTGTACAGCGCTCTTTGACTGGAAACTGAATTCATTCTGAAAGCTCAAATGTAGCTTCTAACATATAGCATAACTTAAAGGTAGCCTTCAATCCTATCGTGTCCATCATTTTTTGAAAATCCTTTGAATACACAGTGAAAGTGCTGTACCCAATGGCCTTATATGCCATTTTAAGTGTTTTTTTTCCCATAAATCTGGGAATGAATAACAAGGTTGAAAGGCATAGATTCAGAGTTATTAGTGACAATGATTATAGGTATAGAACTGAAATGCATTGAAAGGCTTTAACTGAGTTGTACAGATTATTTTTTTAAAGGATCATCATTTTCTCAGAACACTAAGGAAAAACAATACAAAGCACCATCAAGGCACAGCTTCAGTTTTAAAACATAAAACACAAGTGAGAGTGCCTTTTAAAACATTCACATGCTAGTATATCAGAACACAGGCTTTGGGTAGAAATTTGAATTTAATAAAATCTTCTGTGGGAAGCAAATATCTAAATACTTGGCTCTGATGTTTGAAATCTCCATATAACTTGTTAAAAGAAACCAAACATTTTCAATACAAACTTGAAAGTACTTACTTCCACTTGGAATCAAGTCCCTTTCTGGGATGAAGAGTTTATATCCATAGTGTTTTTCCAGGACATCTGGCAGTATTTCAAGAGCAAAATGCTCTTCTTCAGGATTGTCACAGTCTAATGTATCTTGCTCCACTTTTGTATAAGAGAGATAGGCATCATACTCCTTGTTGTCTTAAACATAAAGAACAATAAAAGGGTTGTAAGTATTTACAGGTTCTCTTTAAGTACTAAAAGTCTATAACCACTAACAGGTTGGAATAAGCACTATACTTAGTGACTATCTTTAATACTTGGGGAAAAAAAACAAGCCACATGCTACGCTACAGGAAATACGGTCCATTTCAACATAACCTAGTCATATAATATGGAATTGAAACTGTTATGCAATGGGCCACCTACAGCCAAGACAGAGTAAGAGACAGAATTATTATTTGTGACTTTCAGTGACTATACATATCTGTGATTTTCAGTAATGTGTGAGTGATTAGCTCAGTGTATTTGAATGCAGGACTAAATAGACCAAAGTCATGGATTTAGACCCTTTCTGTGCCAGTTGGCTTGGCTCTTTCAGTTGGTCACAGACTATACCTTGTTTGCACAAATATGTGCAAAAGATCCAAAAGGGGCTGGGCCCTAGAGTGTGGAAGATCGAAATAATCCAGCCTTACTCCTGGAGACACCACTCACAGCACATACCATATGTCCAGTTGGTTAATGTCGTCATCTTCATATACAAAAAGCAGTTCATTACCAAATATTAGAGATAGCAGCTGGGTTTTATACAAGTGCACTGCCTATTACTCTTGTTCAATCCATGGCCAACTAATTTGACACAAGCTTCCAAAGAAAATCTTTGTTTCGAAATATACATCCTTCCAGTGTTGCCAAATTAGGTTTTCCCCCTCACAAATTTAGTCAGGGAGTTAACTGTGCTTTGCAAGTGGATTTTTTTCTCCTTTGCTGTATTGGCTCAGAGCCAGCCTCTCCAAAAAGAAAATGCACACACACACACACACACACACATGCATTTCATTTTCTGAAAAATGTTACTGAACACAGCTACTCAAAGTATTAGTTACGACAAATTTTAGAAGGGCTACATTGGAAAAGCAACAGTATTTTTAAAATTCCCTTATCTCTTAGTTATCTAGTGTTGCTATAACAGAAACACCACAAGTGGGTGGCTTTAACAAACAAATTTATTCTCTCACAGTTTAGGAGGCTAGAATTCTGAATTCAGGGTGCTGGCTATAGGGGAAGGCTTTCTCTCTGTCGGCTCTGGGGGAAGGTCCTTGTCTCTTTTGAGCTGCAGTCCTCATGTGGCTTTGCATCTCTCTTCCCCCAACTCTGCTCTGCTGGCTTGTTTAATCTCTTTGATATCTCAAAAGAGATTGACTCAAGGTATACCCTACAGCATTCTTTCCTTTCGTCCTTTCTCTGTCTGTCCCCTTCAGTCTAAGCTGATGGGCTTTCTGCTGTGGTAGTTGATTAGATCCATCAGTCACAGGCTTAATCTCTTTAACAAAACATTGTGTAGCAACGTCCTTGGTGAACATTCTAAGACACGTGTCCTTAGTTTGTACAACAGAATTTTCCAAATCTTTAAGTTTTGTTTTCATTTTGCACAGTTCATTTTTAAGTCCATCTATTTCCTCTCGCGTTTTACTATAAGTGGCAAGGAAAAACCATGCTGCCCCTTTAAGATCTTGCTTAGAAATCTCATCAGCCAGATATCCAAGTTCATCACTTACAAGTTCTACCTTCCACCAAACATTTGAACATAATTCAGACAAATTCTTTGCTATTGCATAAAAAGCATCGCCCTTCCTCCATTGTCCAATCACATGTTCATCATTTTATTTTAAAGCCTCAACAGAAGCACATTTAACTTCTACTTTTCTAGCAACATTCTGTTGCTGGCACCATATGTATTCTCTAAGATGATCGAGACTTTCTCTATGGCTTTCCTTACTTCCTTCTGAGCACTCACCAGAATTGCCTTTGATGTCCATAATTCTGCCAACAGTCTCCTTAAACCAATCTAGGCTTTTACTATTAGGCACCTTAAAACTCTTCCAGCCTCCACCCATTACCCAATTCCAAAACTGCTTCCACATTTTAGGTATCTGTTAGAGCAGCACCCCACTCTGCTGGGACCAAATTCTGTCTTAGTTCTCTAGTATGCTATAACAGAAATACCACAAGTGGATGGCTTTAACAAACAAATTTATTTTCTCACAGTTTAGAAGGCTAAAACTCTGAATTCAGGGCACCAACTCTAGGGAAAGTCTTTTTCTCTCTCTCTCTCTCTGTCAGCTCTGGGGGAAGATTCTTGTCTCTTCTGAGCTTCTGTGCCTGGGAACTCTTCATGTGGCTTTGCATCTCTCTTCCCCCATCTCTGCTCTGTTGGCTTGTTTAATCTCTTTTATATCTCAAAAGAGATTGACTCAAGATACAGCCTACATGAATCCTGCCTTAACGTAACAAAGACAACCCATTCCCAAATGGGATTATAGCCACAGGCACAGAGGTTAGGATTTACAGCACATATTTTTGGGGACATAATTCAATCCATAATACCTTATATATAGAAAAAATTATTTTAAAAAAGTTATTGTAGAGAGCATAGAATCGTATAGAACTACTAGTACTTATTAAACTCAGTTATCTATAAATAATAATTTTGAAAGACTGGCAGACATTTTGGGATTTGTCTCTAAAACTCATGAATCTTTTCAATTAATACATGGGTGATTAAAATATAGCTAAAACCTAACTAAGAGTTAATTTGTAGAGTGAATCAGCCACTCACTTACCTATACCGTTCATAATTTGAGTCTACCTGCTGAAGGAGGAATAGACTATAGACATACACAGAGGTATAAATACCCTATGGTAGGATTAGGTGGGACCTCCACCCACCCACTATCTAGAGATATCTGAGGTAGGACTGTATATTGTTCTAATTCTAATAAGATTCCAGCCTTCACCACCTCACATGGAAGGAACTCTGGTTATTTATGTAAAGATAGTGCCTAAAGCCGGAAGGAAGGGTTAATGTTCTTTAGCATGTCCCCTGGCTGGAAAAGAACTTCCATAAACCTTGACTGGGTTACTTGGTTGCCTAGAAGCAGATGCACATGAAGGACTGCCCTGGATAGTTGAGGAGATCATTTGGCTTACAACTGGGGCACATGCTGTTGTTAAGCATAAAACTCCATTTGGAAGTGAGAATGTTCATAAGCAATGCTCATGTAAGAACCTCCTGGTAATCCTATCACCTCTGCCCCTGTTCCAATCAAGAGCAGGATGCACCTGCAGGCCCTTGACTTTCTCCTACTATAATTACACACCTGGGACCCAGGGCTGCAGATGATACACAGCTGGAAGAATAAAATAGGCCAAAGGACAAACAGCTCCATTCCTATGAGCAGAGTATATTTTCATGTTCTTGGTGGATACTGTTGCTGCCTCAAACTGAATCCTTATTTGCTCTAAAATGGATATCTTTCCTATCTCACAAACCTACCTAAATTCAACTATTATTAGTTCATTAAAAAAAACTATAAGCTATCCCTCTGCAATGGCTACCTGACTCCTTTACCATATGACCAGACCTTCTAGACTCCTGCCCCATTGCTTGTCCTGACTATAGCTATTTTCCCTCCAAGTATGCCTAAACTCACATATGCCTTGTCCTACCCTCAGTGGCTCCCATTTATATCCTGATATTACAGTTCAATCCTGCAAGAAGACATTCCTCTGGAAAAGTATTGCTATATTTGTATATCCCATATCAAGTTACGACAAAGAACGTGGATGCTTTTAATATTCGTTAACATCCAGCACGTCTGGATAATAAATTTTACCTAGAATTCTCGAAGCACGCCATTCTTTAGAAAATGTTTGCTTCTGATTTCAGTCATGTCCCTTTAAGATCACTGAAGTTGAAGAGCTCATGGTGGCTGGCCAGAGCAGGAAGGGAGCTCTCAAAGCCACCATGTCAGATGTCCCAGAAGCTCTAGGGTGCCAGCTAGTAAGCCAGCAGTGATGCAGATGCCACAGTTTAAAAAATGCACTTCACCCTTATGTAGACAGCCAAGAAAACCTCATGAATAGCCACAGCTGTTACTCACAAAGAGGAGCAAGATGGATAGAGCAAAAGCAACAACATGATGCAAATAAGGTTAACAGCAAGGCCTGAAAATTGTTTTAAAACCGAATGGCAATTCAGCGACACCAGTTCAGAGCACAAAGCAGACAGAGTGCTATAAAGAAGAAGGCTGGCACAGTGGTCACCACAGTTATTCTGTTCTAATGAAGAGGGAAGTCATAAGGATGAGAAGAGAGCCAAACTATCTGTGGAAGAATTTTCCTGTTGTCACACCTGTTCTTCCCTGCTTATAAATCTAATTGTAATCCTGTGTACCATCAGGAAGCCATTCCTGTCTATAACCCTGTTCTCCTGGGGCTATACTAAAACCCCCCAAAAAGCAAACCCATTGCCATCGAGTTGATTCCGACTCATAGTGACCCTATAGGACAAAGTAGAACTGTCCCATAGAGTTTCAAAGGAGCACCTGATGGATTTGAACTGCCGAGTTTTTGGTTAGCAGCCACAGCACTTAACCACTATGCCACCAGGGTTTCTAGGGGGGCTACACTAAACATAGTGCTAAACCCTTAGCTTCTTAAGTGAAAAGACTGTATATCTGGTTGATTATTGCATCCCTAGTGCCTATTATGGAGCCCTGGTGACACAGTGGTTAAGAGCTTGTCTGCTAACCAAAAAGGTCGGCAGTTCAAAGCCACCCTCCACTCCTTGGAAACTCTATGGGGAAGTTCTACTCTGTCCTATAGGGTTGCTATGAGTCAGAATCAACTCGAAGGCAACAGGTTTGGTTTTTTGGTTTAGTGCCTACTATAGTGCCTGGAAGTCATACACACTCAATAACTGTGTAACTGTGTGTGTGTGTGTGTGTGTGTGTGTGTGTGTGTGTGTGTGTGTGTGTGTGTGTGTGTGTGTGTAGTGTTGATCCAGGTTAAGAATATAACTTCATCTTGCATAGTGTCTGCCACATAGTAGAAACGTAATATTTATTGACTGAATCACTGAAAGATTTAATACATGAAGCAATCATTGTTTAGTGGGTTGAAATGAAATAAAAAAT